TAATCATATCAATATTCAAACTCTACAAGCATATGACATAAAGACAATGCCTTCCTTTTATGTTTCATGTCTTTAGACTTCTCACAAAGCCATAAGCCCTTAATCACTTTGATTCTGACTTAGATTAATTATTACAGAAGTCCACATTAACCAATCATGGGTCCACAAATCCAAAATGTCATTCTGTATGAACAGTACAGCTACTGCCTCGAAATTCCCAGAATATCCGGATATATGTCGGGGCCATATTCGAATATCCATATTTGGATATCACAAGACCCCATATCCGGATATCAATATCCGGATACCATATCCGGATATTTCGCGACAGAATGCAGTTCTGCATTTCACGAGATATCCTTCCCAAAAGTTGCTCTTTTAACGATTCCGGAAGCCTAAACATGCATTTCTAGGTGCGTTTACCCTTACCCAACCTTAAGTTATGAACTTTGGCTTATCACATGCATCGAGACTTAATTTTTAACTAAGGAAACTCATGATCAAGGTTTATGAAGCTTACCCAACCTTAAAACAGAACAAGGAGGTGCTCTTGGAGCTCTCACAACAGCCACAAGACTCAGACTCTACAACGACACGAAAATGCCAAGCAAGCAAGGTTCTTTTTCACCAATCTTGAAGCTTCCTCACTCAAGACAATACTACACCAAAAAGGAAGTCAGACCCCTCAACACCACAACTCAGAAGCTCACACTAGCTTATGGAGCACCCAACACCCTCATAAGACCAACTCTCACTCAAGAAAGGTGTTTTGGTGAAGGTTTCATGGAGAAAGGTGGCTCCTTGGTTCAAAAATGAAGAAGAGAAGGCAAAAGAACAGTGGAGGCTGATCAGCTGCAAGGGTTCTCATGTAGAAGGCACAAGGAATGACCTAGGATCATGTGCCAAGTGTAACGCCCGACCGCTTCAAGAATCAATGACTATCCCCACATACTAACACGAGACTTTTCAGTGTACTTTTTCCTCACTCGCACACTTCCCGGGAAAACTTCCTAGGAGGTCACCTATCCCAGAATTGCTCCAAGTCAAGCACGCTTAACTGTGGAGTTCTTCCGAACCGGGCTACCGAAAAGCAGATGCATCTTGTTAGCATAGGTAGTACCAATTAATTCTTATAAGCTATCCCAAACTGTGGCAGTCTTATACCTGCACAGCCATTAGAATCCTTCTCTTTCGGGTGTCGATTCGATTCATTCATGCATGTAACCCCCCCGCTGGAAGCCTGTCAGGAGCCGCTCTTTGTCCGTGCCTCTTTGCACCGGCGATCACTCCCCGCCCTCGTCAGCGCTCAGGATGTTACAGGCCCACCAACTTTCGCCTGGTTCGTCTTCGAACCACACCATATTGGATAAGAGGCCCTGCTCTGATACCACTTGTAACGCCCGACCGCTTCAAGAATCAATGACTATCCCCACATACTAACACGAGACTTTTCAGTGTGTTTTTTCCCCACTCGCACACTTCTCGAGAAAACTTCCTAGGAGGTCACCCATCCCAAAATTGCTCCAAGTCAAGCACGCTTAACTGTGGAGTTCTTCCGATCCGGGCTACCGAAAAGCAGATGCATCTTGTTAGCATAGGTAGTATCAATTAATTCTTATAAGCTATCCCAAACTGTGCAGTCTTATACCTGCACAACCTTTGGAATCCTCTATTTTGGGTGTCGATTCGATTCATTCATGCATGTAACCCCCCGCTGGAAGCCTGTCAGGAGCCGCTCCTTGTTCGTGCCTCTTTGCACCGGCGATCACTCCCCGCCCTCGTCAGCGCTCAGGATGTTACAAGTAGCGTACTATTCATCCAGAACTGATGTATGGGGGTTTGTCGACCCTAGTTCGAGGAACTTGAACTTCTGTAATAACTAATCTAAGTCAGAATCAAGTGATTAAGGGCTTGTGGCTTTGTTAGAAGCCTTAAGACGTAAAACGTAAAATAGAAGCGTTGTCTTTATGTTTATGCTATTGAGCTATGTTTATTGATATGATTGCTGGTCCAAATCAGATTGTGATTCTGCTGTGTTTGGACTGTGAGCTTTGTTTGGACTCTTGGCTTGGATTGTTAGCTTTCAAGGTAAGCTTTCGTGTCCTCAGTTTAGCCATGTTGTAGTTTCACCATACCCCATGGGGGAATGGTTTATATGCATGTTGTGTTACATGTTTTGGATGTTTTGAAATACTTTTGAGCTTATATGTGCAATAACTTATAATATGTATGTGTTATTTCCACTTAGTCGGAAAGCCTGAGTATGTAGCGTCATACAAGATGGTGAGCCCGTGGGTGGGTGCAAGTAGCATCTTGCATATTGTGTGGGTAATAGACGTATTCCTGCATTTCTCTGATCAGTAGAATAGAATTGACACACATGACATGATTATCTGTTGCGTTGCACTATTTTGGAAATTATATTGTTAAACTACTTTTGAACTTATATCGCACATGTAAGTGAGCTTGGGGTGGAAGATCCTTGAGGACCCCTTGTATTACTGAGATTTCTTGTTTAGAGATCTCACCCCACGTTTGGGGGCGCTTATTTCAGGTTCAGGTAATTTGGGGGTTGATGCCTCTGGCGTTAGGAGGCCGGAGTTTAGTTGATGATTATTGTTGTTTATATACTGACATGTTTGGATGCTGGATCTATCTGCTGATGTTATGCTTTAGCTTTATTTTATTATGATGTTGTTGTTGAGACTATGTTGGGCATGTCGCTTTATTTGTGAGCAGTGGGTTTGTCCATGCCACTTGATGTTGGTGCTTTGGGTTGAGTTGTATGAACTGTTAGCTTGTTCGGTCTACGTGTTGTAGTTTCGTGACTAGAGACATATTTATGCTGTTTAATTAATGAGGTATTTCAGTTAGCTTCCTTTTGCATTTTACATACAGGAAATGTTTTATTAATTTATTAAATAAGCAAGTTGGTAATGATTAATGATGTCATAATTGAAAAGAAAAAGATATTCCGCTTTTTTAATTAAGCGCAGCTTAATACGATGATATGATAACATTACCGGATATATACGGGGTGTTACACCAATGCCTTATATAGGCTATTTAAGCTTTAATCGCACTGTATTAGTGCTAATAGCTACGCTTAGCATTTTAATCCCAAACTTAGGATTCTGAGCCTACTCATTTTTCTAAGATTTTTCAAATTTTTATTTTATTTTTTGCAGCACTTTTTCGGTATGCGCTTTTACTTAGCCAGTATCAGTTGTGACACCAGTTCTCATTATTTCGAATTGAAACTTGTTTTACTAGTCCTATATATTATTCTAGTGACATATACATACTTTTCATAATTTTTCGTGATACTTCATCGATACGCATTTATACCATGAGGCGGAACCGGTATCTGCACTTTTCGTCAGAAAAGCGACTTTCAACGTTATTAATCACTTACCGTAATTATTTAAGCCTTATCATAATTGTTAGGTTCAATTATGGAATTATCTCATTAATCTCATAATTAATTAATTAAATTCCTAATTTAACGGTGCGGGTTCTTACATGCCCCACACAATATGTGTCTATAGTATGAGAAATTTGTAGGAGCAATTGCATCCTGCGGAAGCAATTAGAGCATTGCAGTTTGAATGTAGAAGATCATCATTGTTTACAATTATCTCTTGTAGCGCAGATCTGAGAAGATGCTCCACAAACTAGAGTCCTTTGCGTCACAACACGAACTCATGAACTGATTTCCTTAGCGCCGCAGTACGAACAACCTTCTTGAAGCTGAACTGTGGCAGATCTTCCAGATTATGTCTCAAGGGAAAATGAGAAAGTGTGTGGGTACCATTGTTGTTAAAATCACGATTTATCACTACGATTTTACGATTTTTTTTCATCAAAACGATTTTACTAATATTCTAAACGCTTTTATGTTTATACGATTTTTTTACATTACGATTTTATGTTTTATGATTATTTAATCCCCTTTCGATTTTACTTAAGATCTCGATTTTAACAGCATTGGTGGGTACTCTCTCACTTTCAGAGAGATGACAATACCTCAGCCTCTGCAACCACACCAAGTGAAGACTAGTGAGGCTGATGACTATAAGTGTAGAATATATATGGGTTTCAAATCCTAGCCCTGAGCAGAATGAGCCACTACAAGAAAAGGTGCAATTTGCGACGGTCCAATTTCGATTTGGAGGCGGTTAAAACCGTCGCTAAAATACTAGTACGGCGGTTAACCAACCGTCGCCCAATCAATCGTCGGGAAGAAATCAACGACGGTCACTTTCAACCGCTGGAACAACCGTCGAGAATAATTCAACGACGGTTAGAACGGCGGTGTGGCCGCCACATAATGATCATCGAAATTACTATGTTTTACTTTTGGAGGCGGTTTACAACCGCCTCTGTATAAGTAACGTGGTTTTGGAGTCGGTTTATAACCGCCTCTGTATTTCCTTTTGGAGGCGGTTCGTAACAGCCCCTAAATAAGTGATAAGGTATTTCGCGTCTGTTGGGAACCGCCTCTGACTTTTATTTGGAGGCGGTTTGTAACAGCCTCTAAATAATAATTTAAAAAATTTAAAATTTATTAAAAAATTTATAAAATAATTTTGTATGATTGATTGTATTCGATAATTTTAAAAAAAATTAATCAATTTTTTTGTTTCTTATATTTTAAAATCCTATTTTTTTAAATTTAATAATAGTGATTTGTTATTATTTTATAAATTTATTCAAATATAGAATATTATTGCTATACATAATTTTTGAAATGTCGTCCAAATATAATTAAAATTATTAACAAAAAAGATCATTCATAAAAATGTTATTGAATAAAAATATATAAATTAAACCATTTATCATAATAGGATTAAAACATCAAACTTGATGTTTTGTACTATCATCTAAACAAAAAATATAAATTTCAAGAATATATATAAGGCGATAGCATACAACATTAGCACAAAGGATTTGGAATTCATAAAAAATGCTAGCAAAGCATCTTGTCATAAAATGAGTATACATCAACAAAATACTTGAATCAAGTATACGCTTTTTACTTCAAAAAAAAACAAAACAAAAAAAAAGCATAAACAAAAAGCATCACAAATGGCTCCTATATACAACGAAGCACATACAAGCATAAAATATAGCTTGCACCCTGTCGTATCTTGTGCATATTATTATTAGTTAATGAGATAGCTTGTAAAATAGAATAACAACTATAGCAAGAACAAGAGCTCCAATCACAGATGCAACGATCCATTTGTTTGTAGTTATTCTTCGTGACATGCTCGTTACAACCTTCTTACTCTTGTCGATAGCATCATCTACCCCATGAAGCTGCAAGTCATAGAAAAAATGACCATCAACCAACAATCACCACCGCTTCTACATCGCACTTGCAATCTTATTCTCCGAGGAAACGTATCATGATTGATTTTAATACTTTTCCTTAGAGAATAAAATCATCTCATGATTCTTTACTAGTAAATTAAAAGAGGACCAAAACTATCTAAAATTGACATAAAAAGAACACCATTGAAAAAAATAGCATTCACATATAAACATACCTTCTTATGGGAGTTCAGAAGAGTCTCACGCTGCTGGTGTAAATCTTGAAGTATTGAGACACCAATTTCTTCAGTTTCCAGCATTCACATATAAACAATAATAATCGCAACTCAGGCTGCACAACGGATGCAAAACACAAACATCTTACAATAAATACACCTGCAATAACATAGCCTCTATATGAACTGGTTGCAGTTGCTGATACCGAACCCACATTCAGTCACAAATATTTCTTGAATATTTAATGGTCTCTAGGAATTAGAACCATATATTCTACAACGGAATTCAGAATTTAAAAAGGCTAAAGATATCAACACTAAATACCCTAATATGATGTACAAAAAAGAGAGTAATAGAACTGTGAAAAAACAGTAAAAAATTAATGATGAATATTAGTGTGGTAACTAAAATAACATTCAGATTCAGTCAATTAAAAGATCATTTTCTGAAAAGCCTTAATGGTAGTTACTTGGTTAACAGTGATCCCAAAAAGGAGATACAGAAGTGAATAAATAGTATTTGATATTATCACTAGCAAACAAAAAGGAAAATAATACAACCAATAACAGAACTTCCAATTAATAACAGTGATCACAATTCCAAGTTTATTAATAACTGAATGATGCTTTTTTCCAATTCTTCTTGTTCGGAGCCATCCTTTTATAACTTTACCAACAACCTATATAATTAGACTCTGATCCTGCAAAATATTAATCAAACATCACTCAGAAATCCCATTTGAATCATGGCTATCTCTTTCACTTCCAACCTGCAATCAAATTACACCCTGAAAAAGAAACTATGACATAGTCCCCTGAAATCATAGAATGATTTTTGTATTCTTTTTTATGTGCCTTTCTTTTAATTAGAAAATATCAGACAATGGATAAGAGTATGTAGAATATACAAATAAAGCAGTTAAAATAATGCTGAAAAACAAGGTATATTATACATAATAATTCCAAAATAGCAATAATAGATAAACCAATTTACCTTGATGGCAAGAAGTCCTAGTGCGAGAGCGCTCCCTTTCTCAATCTTGTGCTGAAATTTAACCTGGTTAATCTGAAAAACAAAACCAAGAGAAAATAAAGCAGTTAAAATTACATACGCGTGCATCTGAATCCCAAAAAATCTAGGATCGGCTAACAGATCCTAAACATTAAAAATTTGTGATGGTCCGACAGCTTCCACCAAAGGACTTGTTGGTTGCAGAAACACATCTATGTGCTGAATGTTTTAATTCGTTGCCTAAATTGGATGGACTTAGTGTCAAAATATGAGAACTATGTGTTGCTCCACTTTCAGTATTAATCCCTACAAAAACAATTAAGGATATTGCCTGGTGTAGATTGAGGCCTGATAACGAATCGTGGTTTCCGAAGCATTCCTATAAATCCAAATACTCAATGACAATAAGTAAAAATGAAAAAAAACAACTAATCAATTGAATAACATAATGTATTCATAAAACATTGTTGATAACTTACAAAAAGATAGCAATATTATGCATGAAACCATAAATAAATATGAAACACAAAAATCACATCAATCAACAATTTATCAAATGTGAGATCAAATTGCATGATTCTATTACATTTGGTTTCAAAATACAAATTATCTAATTTAGCTTGCATTGGTCATGTCGTTCAGTATAACACTTTAATCATTGGCATGTTCATTAACGGTCAAGGTGGGATTGTCATCATCCACATTAGGTCTTGTTAAAAGAATATGCATAGCATCATCAGACAAAATTTGTTCCAAGTTTTGGGATGGATATAACTCAATGGATGGCATAATGTCTTCTTCATCTTCACCCATGTCGTACAAATCTCTTGGTTTCAAATGAATAGGTATGCTCCAACCTTTTTCTTTCTCATCGTCCACAAAATAAACCATTTGAGCTTCAGATGCTTTGATGTATGGCTCATCATCTTCATGTTCACCTGTATGTATTAGTCTGGTGAAATTAATTGAAGTAAATCCCAGATTATCTTTTTTGATGCCTCTAGGATTAGTGGTATTAGCCCATTGACACTTGAACAAAGTAACTGTGAATAAGCAATTATAATTGATCTCTATAATGTCCATCAGTTTCCCATAGTATAAGACATCTCCAAACCTCATTTGGCTATCACTATTACTTGAATAACTTCTAGTTCCAAATGTACCAAATACCCCACTATTTTGTGTTTTCAAGCCCCGATCTCGTGTCAAGGTTCGAAATCTGCACCCATTTACATTGTATGCATTGAACCTTCTAGCTTGGCTAATTGGACCTTGACCAAGAAAAAGCATAATATCTTTATCTGATTCACTCAGTAGGTCAATATCTTTAACAATCTATATATGGGTTTCAAATCCTAGCCCTGAGCAGAATGAGCTTTAGGTTTCTTGGGCTCTTCTCACACACTAGGCCCTATTGGGCTTTAGTGAAAGAGCAAAATCCAACAAAATTTTTCTCTTACTGCATAAGAAAATTGAAACTCATATATATGAGAAAAAATGTTTCTCAAGCAGCTTGAAGTATATTTATCTCGATCCACTAAAAACTACATCGATTTGTTTATTTATTTACTTATATTAATTGATTCACCTTTAAATGGTTATTCTCTCTCTTCTTTTATCACCATTGATCCATCTTTGTACGATTATGATTTAGTAGCCGAAGATAAAGTTATTTCAAGCAACTTGAGAAATGATAAGCCCTATATATATATATATGTATATATATGGTAAATATTTTCTTATTTTATATATATATGGTTAATATTTTCTTATTTTATAGGATAATTATTTTCTCCAATCAATGACTCTTCGATTTTCATATAATATTTTCTATATGTGCATTTAGCATGAGAAAATTTCTCTTATTGCATGAAAAAAATTAAAATTCATATATATATATATATATATATATATATATATATATATATATATATATATATATGAGATATGATATTGTGACAACCAAATAATGTTAACCAATGTTACTACCACATCTTAACCGTTGATTTCCGCCAATCAACAGTTATTATTTTTCAAATCAAACTCATTAATTAATTATTAATTCGCAATAAATGATAACCGTTGATTGGCGGAAATCAATGGTTAAGATGTGGTAATAACATTGGTAGTAACATTATTTGGTTGTCACGATATCCTATCCCTTGAAAATATGTTTTCAAAACAAAATTACTAAACAAATTTTTCTGTTTTTGAAGTTTCAAAACATTTTTTTTAAAATTTTTTATCAAACAGATTTTTTTCCTTCTTTTATTCTGAAAAAATAGTTCTTATAAATTATTCTACAAAAATTTTGTAAGAACAAAAACAATGGAAACAAAATTAAACAGGCCATATATCTTCTTTTATCACTGCATGCTAATAAAAATGGAATTTTTTTTTGGATTTGTTTAAATTATTTGGTAGAAACAAATGTGTCCGCTACTACTATACTAATGAACCAGAGCTGGAGTTTCAAATAAATCCAAAGCATAAGTGAAAAATTTCGTAATTTTTAGAGACGAAAAAAACTTCATCCTTAAATTTTTTTTATTAAATTTAAATATATATTTAATGCTATCCTATTTTTCCGTCTTAAATAAAGATGGGTTTAGAGATTGAATTGGGCCTATTAGAGAAAGATTTATTTTAATGCTATCCGATTGATTTGGCTTTTATCCATTCATAGCTTTGCTCTTGTGGAAAATCCCTCCAGAATTAGATGTAAAATGCTTGGTGCATGTGTTTCTGTGTCATACCCAAGCCAAATCAGTATTCACAACTTATTCCTTACCAAAATAGTGTGGAAAAGCACCAAAATAAGCAAAACAACAAAGATATGAGTTCCTAATTGATTTTGTACAAAGCAAAGGAGGTTTGTCATTTAAACTGCGCTAACCAGCAGAAGAAAGAAAAAGAATAAACTGGATCCAACAAATAGAATATGGCCCAGTATAACAACCACACTGATAACCAAATATGTAGAACCTAACTGTTGAGCCTCCTTCTGTTGGTCCAGAAATGTATGGATTGAAGTTATCCTTCTTCTTTAGGCCTTGGCCCATTTCTCTCACCAAAGGAAAAGCCGGAATGTAGAAAACCCTTGTAAAAAAGACCATGTATAAACAATGTGATGAGTCTGATGACCATGTATAAAAAAGACCTAACCTTAACCTTAAGGGGGTGTTTGGTTCAAGTTTTTGGAGAGGATTACCGGTAATCCTTCTTTGGTAAATGTAATTACCACGTTTGGTAGAAGGAATAAATTACGATTCCCGGATATCCAAGGATTACCGGTAATTTGATTTATAAAGAAAAGTCACTATTCAGATTACCAAAAATAATATGGTAATTCGGAATACCAATCAGAATACCAAGTAAAGGGAAAGCACAACAATAAATTTTGAGACAAAAATACCCCAATACACATAAAAATCTAGACCCAATCTATCAATTACAAAAGTAAAAATAGTTTGGGGTTATTTTTGTAAAATAACCTCATATTCCAAGTCATATTTCGTTCTAAACCAAATATGGAATCAGTAATTTTTACCCAGTATTCCCGGTAATATTTTGGCGAACCAAACACATCTTTCGTAAGATTCCAAGTAAACTCAATTTCTACTGAATTCCCATTAATCATGATTCCCGGTCATCAAAAAATTTCTCCTGTACCAAACACATCCTAAGGTTTAAGGTTTAAGGTTTAAGGTTGAGATGCAATAGTTTTCTGATTTGTCAATTAGCCCATGTAACCCTTGCAAGGATTTTTGGCTCCCCTAACCATTTAACAAAAATCATGAGAACTTAGCAATGCTGGCTATCTGTTCTTTGTTGTACATGATGCACCCATATGGTCGATGGTTAATCCAATTTTAAAGACATACAGTGATATTCCAAACATCCAATACTAAAAGAAATGAATTCACCATACTGCTGAACAATTTAAAGCTGCGTGTCTGAGTGAATGGTGTAAGAAAATATTGTCATCTATGATTGGATTCAAAATGAGATGACAAAATTATGAGGAATTCTATAATGTGACTCGCAATGAGGAAATCTATATATATGAGCAGTTTAAAAAGTATAAAATACTAATAGTAAAATATTATATATTTTTTATTAATAAATAAATATTACTAAATAACTTGAGTTTACTCTCAATTTAAGTAATTCCCACCTAAATTATATCTAATAATAAACAGTTACTAAAAAAAAGTGAATTACTAACCTTCCTCAAATAAATTAGCCAAAAATAAACCAATTTAGAGAGAGAGAGAGAGAGAGAGAGGAGATCATTATTAAATTTAAACAACATAAAAATTAATTAGTAAAACCAAAAACAAAAGGCATTGCAGGAACACACTTTGTTCCTTTTGTGAAATTTTGTTCTCCGAAGGAGTTCTGTCATCTTTATTAGGTCGTCAAAGTACTTGTACGGTTGTTCATGCTGGGTGGAGTACGTGTAAAAGAGAATCTATGTCTTCAGTCAACGTGATAGAATAAAGAGGAATAAAATATACTTATAACCGTGTGTGTGAGGTTGTGAATGGTACTTTTGCTGTTCTCCAAAAGGTAAAAATGCGCTAAATTAGAGTAACAAAATTAGCATTAAAAGATTTGATTTGTCAATTCATATACAATATCTCATGGTTTATTCTTTTCAACCTCCCCAACTAGAACATTAATTGCCTCTTCAACCAGGACAAGGTCAAATGAAGCCACTAAATCCTCAACATTGCGTAAATCAAATATAAAAGCAAAATCACCACTTGATGATCTAGAATTTGATAATTCCATCTCTAGTAATTATTGATAGAGTTTGATGCTTCCATTAGTCTCCAATGTAATTCCACTTTTAAAGACAGAAAACTCAAAAGCTCTACATAGAATTCTATAAACATATGCAACTCTCCAGAGGCAAAAAAACAAGTACTCATTACATTTGATAGTAGAAAAGGATTAGAAATTAAAAAAGAATCAAATGAAATATCGCTCGAAACCATCATCTCTTATTAACAGCTAGCCTCACCCACGCTACCATTGTTTTCGGTACCAATATATACAACTCAACCCCACCAACACTTCAACAATAGCCTCCTCCACCTTCTCCAAGTTTGAGTAATGAAGCGTTTGCAACAACAACACCGTTGGTTTTGTCTCAAACTTCTGTTTCTCCAAGTTCCTCTCAGCCTGCCACTTCACCGTGTCATGCGCCACCGGCGACAACCAATCCATTACCTCCTCCACCTTGTCGAACCACCGCGAGGCCACCGCCGAGTGACCGTCATCTCCTCTTTCCGAATTCTCCTCCCATTTCAAATATTGACTCCTCAACTTCGGCCTCAGCTTCACCTTCAACCTCCCCGGTAACATCTCATACAGCGCCGAGCGCGCGTCATCACCAATCGCCGCCGAAGCATTCATGCACCGTTCCATGAACAGGATCACGTTTGCATACCTGTGCGAAAGCCCCGCCCCACCAACCGTGGACGGCGGGGGCAGACGCAAAACACGGTTGTTCTTCGCCATATCTCCCTGCGGACTGTGCCGCGGCGGCGGTGGAGGTGGCGGCGGCGGAGGGTGGTTGTTGAATCGGATCAACCCTCCTTTAAAAACAGAACCCGAATTTTTCGCGCGTTTCTTCAATGATTCCTCGTTCTGATCGAAGAGACAGAGATTTACCTCATACAACTCTCGATGTTCTAGGAGGCAACAAGAGTTATCAAAATTTGGATGGAAAATTCCTTTAACATTAACAACGTTGTTCTTCTTGTTGCAACCAGGTATAATACCCGTTACAAAGGGTCCAAAAACGTTACAGATTCTAGCGTAAGCAATGCATATAATACGAGCCATGAGACCCACAACCTTGTCAAATGTCTGGTTCCAAAGCGAAACTTGTTTGTAATACTGAACCCTTCTTCTATATAACAAGATCCTATCATTGAAACATTCAACTTTCACCTTCAAGCCATGGTTAGCCCTAATATTTCTCCAACGTTGTATCTTCTTCTGCGAACCCTCCATCTCCGTTAAGGATTCCATGGCGGCGTGGAGGTTCCTCGTGGCGGAGACATGCTTCTCCATTTTCTCAATTACCTTCTCGATGTTTCTAGTGCCAAATTCGATCTTCTTGACGTCAACTACGCCGCGCTTCATGTCGGCATAGACGACATCGAAGCAGCTGAGCCCCTTGTCGGAGCAGTTACGGCCAAGCCAAGAGACGTTGGCGGCGGCGAGGTTGAGATCCTCGAGGCGCTCGGCGCAAGCGAGGTTGAGTAGGAAGCATTCTTCTTTGGAATTGAGGCAGGTTACACCTTTGGATTTGATGACGTGGCGGTGGAGCTTGAGGATTTCGGGGTCGGCGAGGGATTTGTAAAGGGAGACAAGGCGACACATGGTCTTGGCGGCGTCGAAGGCGAGGATGCCAAGGGTTTCCGATGGCGGCGGTTCTTCATGGAAGAACATGAAGCAAAGGTTAGCTCCTTGACAACGAGCCATGGTGGGGGTGACGACCATGACCATGCATGCGCGCGCTCTATGTCTCTCTCTGTGTTTCTCTATACGTACCTTTCTATATTGATGGGTTTAATAATTTGTTTAAAAAAAAAAGAAAACAATTAACAAAATCTATTTGTTTTGCTTTTAATTTTGGCTCATCTTTTAACTATTTTTTTTCCCTTTGATGAAGGTGTATGTGTTGGCTCTTTGGGGTGTTGTTTTAAGGGTTCGGTTTTCGTTGCGGTTTGTGGATATTGAAGAGAGGGTTAGTGCTGTTGTGTAGGGTGTATAACGGATGATCGAGAATATTCCAACGGACGGGAACACACGGAAAGTTCTAAATGATCTAAATTTAATCAGAGATTTTTTTAAGTGAGTCAATTATTATTTAAGGGGCTTGAAATAACTTCTCATTGCTGGCAGTATCCAATAAGCTACGAGCTATGATGATATGGGAATAATATAATCTAATATATAATCGGATTCTCCATATAAAATAAGGCTTCTGATTCGTGTCTTATATAACATTTCCCCCCTAAAATTTTAGCTTGTCATAAACTCATTCACAATTAATTAGGATGTTACATTTCTTAGCTCCTATCCCTCTCTCTCAATCTAATACTAATTTTAATTAATCTTACTATTTAAGTCTCATGCCACATATTGCTCTTGCATGATTGTTTTTAATATTTACTGATCTAATTACCTTTCTAATAAGCTTGGATACGCAACTTCATTTCCCCTGATCTTACAACACAAAAAAGAAAAGACTCTATTCCAAGGGTAGAGACGTCTTCTTCATCTGCACCTGCAAACAGCAGTCCTAACTGCGCATTCTGAGGGGCGTTGACCTGGTATATATACTCACAAGCTTCTTTTATGAGCTCACCCATATATATATATTATATATATATATATATATATATATATATATATATATATAGTGGCAGACCCAGAAAAATTTGTTTATATCTGTACATTGAGTGGCGTGGGATTGAGGCAGCGCCCTCGAAAAAAAAATTAATTGCATTGAAAAACAAAAGTTGAGTTAAAACAGAGTTAGATGAAAGCAAGGAAGCACAGACACTTGTAAAAACAGGGAGAGTCATGTCCGACACGCTCCGACACGGTGCCGGACACGCGGTCAACTTTTTCCAACACGTTGACCATTCCGACACGCGAATTTGACCGTGTCCGACACGGTCAAATGGCATTTTCGTAATTTTTTTTTTAAATTTTTAAAAAAAAAAATAATTTTTTGAAAAATTAAAATATAATAATAAAGCTTTCACCTGATCATATCAATTTTATTTTTTTGTCTTTTTTTCCTTTAAGTAGATAAGAGATCATCTCAGCATCATTGTTGTCAATTCCTATCACGCTCTTGTTGTATCTCCTTGTCTCTGATCTCTCTCTAATATGATTTGATCTCTCTATCTGATATTAAATATCTCTCTCATCCCAGTTCTTATTTTTTTATTAAAGCTTCTATCTTTATAACGTGTTGATGGGTATTATTAATTCAGTTTCATTTTTTTGTTAAATTATTAAATATTAAATGAAATATACACTATATAAATTAAAATATTATTTGATATTAAAACGTGTCCCAACGTGTCGAAATCTATAATTTTTTAGGATTGACGTGTCGAAATGTCGTGTCGTGTCGTGTCACGTGTCGCGTGTCGTATCGATGCTACATATAGGATGAAAGTATAGACTTAAAACAGAGTTCAATGCTAGTTGCAAATACAAATTTATGAATAAAAAAGTGAGGAAGTTGAGTTACAAACCAGCCATCTCCATGGGTTGAATGTTAGTGGCTCATTATATAGAAATGGGTCATATATAATTAATCTCTCTTGTATATAAATCCTCCACCTTTAGGAATTAAATAGCCTGTAAACAACATGCATATAAAGCTTAAATAACCCTGTTAATAGCATCAAGAAGATGCTCACAATCAATAAACACACTCTTCCTAATTTTTTATACTGTAAAGTGGCTGAAAGAAGCCCGAGAAGTAGAAAAAAAAGCTTCGACTAAAGCGATATAGTTGGCCTCTCAAAACCCACCATTAAGTTCCATGTCTTGAGTTGTTTTTCTCATAACCCCACTAACTATGGTAGCTAATCTCGAGTGACAACATCAAAATTTTGATCCAATATTCTATAGAATTGTTTTCCAATCAAACTAAATAATGTTAATTCAAAAGACACAAACATCTTACCGCGCAGTAAACCTCATTGCCTTGAGATCATTACAGTCAATTGGATTTGGATCCTTTGACTTTTTCCTTTCTCTTATGGCAAAATGCTTTTTCTGAAGAAAAAAACAATTCAGTATTATCAAAATTTAGGACAGACAAGAAAAAAAGCTTGATTGATTCTATATAATAAAATCATCATCAGGAACCTAAAATTTCAAAACACTCAGGGAGTGATAATGGATTTGGAGCAGCGAGGTGTACTAGAGCAGAATCATCATAAAATAATTCTACTATATCTATGGATACAACAAAAGAAAAGTCATTCAATTCATATTCAACACAATAAAAGGTCATTCGGTTGAAGAAGAAGTCGGTGGGTGGGTGCAGCAACTAGGTCAAAATGGGATTTTGCAAATTGGGGATCAGAAAGGAGAGAGAAGCATGACTTACACACACATCTGAAAAGCAGAAGAGATTTCACCGGTAATCTCAACAAAACTTCTACTATCAACTCGTCTGGGAGAGTGTGAGTGAGAATGAGATTCATCTACTTCATGTTTGAGAAGAAGCTGCAAATGAGATTTTGGCTCTACTCCAAACGGCGTTAATAGGCGACTCCGCTGTATTTCCCCCTTAGCCTGCCCTAGCTCCGCCTCTGCCTGTTGATGTGAGCAAAAATGAAGATGAAGAAGGGGGAGAAAGGAGGAGGAGGATTGAAAGAGAGGTTGGAGCTAAAAAAAATTTCTTTCAAAAATTTATGTCCGCACTTGCGGTGTAACACCCTCCCTTGTGTGCACCCAAGAGAGTTGTTTGCTAAGCGAAATTAGAGTTCGTTCGTCATATATTTTAAGCACTGAAAAATCATTTTGATGTTTCTAATTAAAACTTATAATTGAAATCAGTTTCCTTATTAAATCAGAGTGTACTTTCAAAATTTCTTAACTTGCTGAAAATATTAATTTCTGGCAGACGTTGCTGTCTTGAAAAATTCGTGTAAAATACAGTTTTCAAAATTCCATTGTAACGTTTACATAATCTGAAAATAGACACGTGGGGCTTCGCGTGCATATAAAATATAAGCGAATCGGAGGTCTGTAGCCCCACTAAATATAACTCGTAAAATGCTAGCAAGACTGTTTAAAACCAACACTTAAATAAACGTCAGAAATTATTTTCGCAACACGTTTATAGAATTTGTTTCCAAAATATTTGCTGATCATAAAAGTCTTAAAACAGCAATAAAATCATAATCCAACAATAATCCAAACTACTCAGCTTAATACAGTCATCCAACAAATAAACAGCAAAAGTCCAGACAGCAGCACATAACAGTAGATATCCATATAATCATGTCCTCATATGCTCTTCCGTCCTCCTGCCATTTTGTAAAAATAGCAGCCCCAAAGGGGTGAGAAAAATCCCAGTAGTGTGGCAAAAAAACCAGTAATGCAACAGTACTAACTAAATACAGAATTACAAAGCAGTCACATCATCAGTTCAAATCCGTCAAATACTAATCATAATCATATTGCGTATATAACGCCAGAAGTACTGATAATATTGCGCATATAACGCCAAGAGCACTGATCATATTGCGTATATATCGCCAGAAGTGTACGTTCATAGCACTAAGATGCACGTATCACTAACAGACACAGTGGATATTCCTGGGTGGCTCCAACAGAAGGATTCCAACTGTGACCTATGCGGACGGAAGCCAAGTGTCCCATACCCTGGTACCGAAGGGATGCCTACATGATGCGTGCTTAAACGTATGCATACTTCTCATAATTATTTTCAGATGTCAACATGAAACTCACGCATGTACGCTATGTCATGGATCACACACGAACATACAGTTAAAAATCATGAATGTGTATGCATGACTAGATAATAATCAAGAGACATATATCTCATGGATTCGAATATCAGAATGCTGTATAACAATTATTCTCCACAATAGAATATCCAGCATATTATATCCATGAGCAGAATACGAATATCGTATACAGAATTTAGATCCAAATCATGAGAGCAACAGTTCACAATCCATGTACTAGCCAACAGTCACAAAAGGTAATGCCACCAGACACTTACCTCACACGTCACAATTAATTTACCAGGCAGTAGTGAAATAATCCAAGTCTCACAAAATATGTGCACCTATATATATATATATATATATATATATATATATATATATATAAGTGCAATCCAATCAGAATACGTTCTAAGCTATTCCTTATAAATTACCAACGAGTTTCCAAGCTTAACGGCTCTTGTGCACATTCGGACATCAAGGTTCTTTTCCCAAAAATATATTGACTTCAAATTAATCTTTACCAATGTTTATCAGCGAGGATTTCTTAAGGTTTCCAACTAAGGCAGAATCGCTTTTGATGCAAGAATTTACTCAAGATTTAATTCATATAATTTCTACTTCTCTACTCAAAGGATGCGCAAAAGAAAGTCTATTTAGCATGCTGTATATTTAATTTGAATAGGACTTAGCTCATACCAAAGTTTACGAAGACAGAACCGATTTATATCTAAACAAAACACCAAGGATAGTTAATTCCAAAACTCATATACTCCATTTAGGGTGCGCTACTAGGGGTCTAAGCATGCAATCCTCTTTATTTAGACTTATGACAAGTTTTAGGTACACTAAATCACAACCAAACAGCCCCAAATTTTATTAAAAGATCATTTCCAAGTTTATTTCCTTTATGCTTTCAAACAAGGGTCCAAGGACATAAAATGGTAGAATCTAAAGCATATAAAATAACCA